ATTGGGGTTCCCGGTGTTTGTGGTGGGGAGGAGGAGGAGGAGGCAGTCTGTTGACCCCACCACCCTCCACCGCTCCCCGCTCAGGTTGTCCACTGAGACATCGCGGCTGATGATGGCGAGAGATTTTGCTGCTGGATGTTCAGCCGCTTGCTTTTGGTCAGCTTCTCCTCCCAGCCTGCTCTCAGTCTCCGTCTGTATGCTTCAGAATAATGCTCACACACCTCGACTGACCTCCCATCGTGTTCACAACTGTCTGGATGGAAAGAAAGGCTTTCAGCAGCTCAGGACTTCCCACTGGTTTTGAAGCGTAGTCAACTAGGCTAAAAATAAATTTACACACAACATGATCCCAACAAAAGACTGATGTGATAATGATCAAATTTAATGACGTCAATTAAGGGACAAAGAGGATCTCACCTCTTTGTCAAATTGGGCCGTGATTTCTTTCATCTCAACGTGAGTAGATTGGGCCTTGTCTCATCTGAAAGGAGGGCATCTCTAACACTGCAGCACTCCCTCAGGAAATTATGTCAGCCTGGACTTTGTGCTTATGCATTTGGAATGGACATAAATCAGCAACTGTTGACTCACAACTAAGAGGGTCCACCACTGAGTGTCAATTGACATTCAAATAATAATTCCTGCTAACTCCTAAACCCCCGGACTGGAGAGGCATCAGGATCAGTTATGTTTGTTCATTCGACCTTGTCAAGCGTTTTTTTCCTGGGACTGTCACAACTTGATGGTATTATCCAAACGGGTTCTCTAACCCTGGGGAAGGTACACTGTAGGGATCAATTTCAAAATTAGCAACAATGCCTTCAGTTCCTTTGTTCAGATAGTTAATGTATAATGTGAATTGTTGTTCTAATACTGACCCCTGCAGAACTCCACTAGTCACTGGCTACCACCCTGAAAAAGAGCCCCCTTGTCCTAGTCTTTGCCTTCTGCTAGTCAGCCAATCCTTTATCAATGCCAGTACCTTGCCCCTAACACCATGGGTCCTTACCTTATTTAGCATCCTTGTGCGGAACCTTTGATAGTCCTTTTGGAAAACCAGTAGATCATGTACACTGTCTGTCCTTTGCCTAATTTGCTCTTTACCTCCTCAAATAATTCAAACAGATTTGTCAGACATGACATCCCCTTGATGAAGCCGTGCTGACTCCACCCTATTTTAACAATGCACTTCTAAAGCACTCTGCATTCTCATCCTTAATAATGGATTCTAATATCCTACCAACAACTGTGGTCAGACTAACCGGCAAATAATTTCCTGTTTTCTGCCTCAATCTCTTCTTATACAGGGTGTTCCATTCACCATTTTCCAGTTCTCTGGGACCCTCCCTGACTTCAGTGATTCCTGAAAGATCACCACCAATGCCTCTACAATCTCCTCAGCTATCTCCTTCAGAAACCTGAGGTACAGTCCATCAGTCTAGGTGACTTATCCACATTCAGACCTTTCAGCTTCCCCAACACCTACTCCTTAGGGATCACCACTATACTCACCTCTGCCCCGAATCTCTGGAAATTCTGGTGTGTTCTTCCAAATGGAAGTGGTCATGGGTTTTGAAGGAGCAGTTGAAGAAGGCTTGATGAGTTACTGCAGTGCATCTTATAGATGGTACACACTGCTGTCATATTACTGGGGCTGATTTTACAAAATTCAGCACCAGCCATGACTCCTCAGATACTGAAGCAGTCAATGTCGAACTGCAACAGGACCTGGATAATATCCAGGTTTGAGGTGCAAAGTGCACATAACATTTGTGCTACACAAACGGCAGGTAATGACCATCTCCAGCAGGAGACAATCAGTCGACCACTCCTTGACACTCAATGCCATACCATTATTGTACCTCCCACTGAAAACATCCTGGGGAGTTAACATTGACCAGAAACTCAACTGGATATGCCACATAAATACAATGGCTACAAGGGCAAGCTAGAGGCTAGGAATCCTGCAGTGAGTAGCTCACTTCCTGACTCCCAAAACCTGACCACCATCTACAAGGCACAAGTCAGGAGTATGATGGAATACTCCCCACTTGCCTGGATGGGTGCAGCCCCAACAACACTCAAGAAGCATGACACCATCCAGGACAAAGCAGCCGCTTGATTGGCACCACATCCACAATCATCCACTCCCTCCACCACCGACGCTCAGTAGCAGCAGTATGTGCTATTTACAAGATGCACTACAGAAAATCACCAAGGCTCCTTAGACAGCACCTTGCAAACCTACGACCTCTTTCATCTAGAAGGTCAAGAGCGGTAGAACACCACCACCTGTGAGTTCCCCTCCAAGACACTACCATCCTGACTTGGAAGTATATCACCATTCCCTCACTGACACTGTGTCAAATTCCCTACATAGGGTCTTCCCAGCAGGACGACTGCTGCAGTTCAATAAGGCAACTCGCCACCAACTTCTCAAGGGGCAATTAGAAATAGGCCGAGCCAGTGACATGGTGGAAGGAGTGAATGTTGAAGACAATGAGTGTAGATCAAGCAGGCTGCTTTGTTCATTTTAGTATTGAGCTTCTTAACCCATCCAGGCAAGTGGAGCGTATTCCGTCACTTTGTGATTTGTACCTTGTGGCTGGTGGACTTTGAGAAATCTTTAGGTGAATAGGTTGATAATTTTAATGGAAAACCTATGACAGGAGAGGGCATGAGTGTGAATTTGGTTAGGGTAGGAAAAAGAGAGATAACCAATGAACTATCTGTTATGTACAGAGGGAAGCTGCATGGAGAGCACAATGAACTGACTGTCCACAATGAACAATTGCAGATTTCTCATGTTCCACCAAAAATTAGCATTGCTTCCTCCCTTTCCTCTGATGTCATTGTTCAAGAATTGATAAATCGCTGAAATAACTTTCTTACATTCAGTTCTGGGCATTCTTGGCATGTGCAGTTTTCAAAAGTTTTGTTTCTGCTAATAGTTGCTCTTGTTGAACCAATTCATTGTGAGTTATTCGTAAGTTTATCTATTTTCAATTTATTTATTTACTTTTAAAGTGAACTGGAGATGAAATTCTCAAAGCTTTATTCAGGCACATTACAGCTTTAAAATATTTAGTTGCTCCTTTTTTCTGACTAATTATTTTTTTTAATTGGCCCTCAGACAGCCGTTCAAGAAAGCAGCTCACCATCATCTTGTCCCAGGCAGTTAGAGATGGGCAATAAATACTGGCCCAGCTAATGATATCCACATCCCATGAACAAATAAAAACATATTCAGGTCATCTACATGAATCAAAACAGTGGTTCTAATATCAACCCTGAGGATCATCACAGTAGCCTAAAACCACAGTTCTCTGCTTTCTGTCCACTACTAATTTTACATCTATGCTGTCACTGCCTCTTAAAATCTGACGCACTTTATGTTTGTTATCACATCTATCATGTGGTACTTTGTTAAATGCTTTTTAAATGTATATTATGAACCATACATTTTTCATAAACTACTTACTTCTAATTTTATTTTCTTGACTGATCTGGAGAGCTCAAACTTTGGATGCTTTTCCTTTATACCCTTCACAGCAATGTGACCTCCTCTGAATCAGCACATCAATTATTAAATAATTATTTTATCTGACAGCTTTTTGATTTCAGCCCTTTGGGACCAGATTGCTTTTCAATTCACTGAAATTAGCCATTTTCTAGTCAAAATTTTTATCCTTGATTGTATTTATTCCTTTTTGATACCTATTCTAACCTGATGATATTAATAGGATCTTTAGAGCAAGTACTATCCCACTGAAATGAGCTGTACTTGCTCCATTTCGTTCTTCAATTGTAGTTCCTTCCTCATTAGCTGGAAGCGCACCGATCAAGAAGGCTCTCTTGTACACATTTTAGGAATTCATCTTCTTTTGCCCTTTACACTGTTACACTCCCAGTTCATATTGGGGTAATTGAAATTTCTTAATATCATGACACTGTAGTTCTCACATCCTTCTGTAATTTGCCTGGAAATGTGTTTGATAGAACCTGCTTGCTGTTCAATGGCCTGTAGTATATACCCAGAATAATTCCACTATTGCTCCTTAATTCTGGTCAAATGAGCTCTATTTTTTATCCCTCATCTATATCAGTTTATTTGTTAGTGTTCAACTTCAAACGTACCATTATGGCTGAATGATTTTGAGGTATTGAATCTCACAAAGGCACTGTTTAAATGTACATACTTTTAATATGTGGAACAGATGAGCAAGTCTGTTTGTGGAGCTGGATATAAAGCATAGTTGAGAATGGATCTTACATAACTTGTAAGAAGGAGACCAAAATCTATCTTATTCAAATATTGACAGAATTAGAGCTATAGAATAATATAGCACAGTTAGTCTAATTGTACTTCTTTTTCCTAAAAACGATGCAATTTTCTGCTCTTCAAGTATTTACCCTTGAAAGTTCTTTTTTAACCTGTTAGACAATGAATTTAAACATAAAAGAATTCTCAAAATGTTGTTAAGGAAACATTCAGGACAATTCTTGATTGGCACCCCATCCTCAAGCTTAACCAACCACTTCTCCACAGGTACACCTTGGCAGCAGTGTGTACCATCTACAAGAATGCACACTAGTGTCATTAGTAACCAGGAGGACATGGGGCAGCGGGTGCATAGGAGCACGACCACCCACAATTTCCTCTCCAAATCACATGGCATCCTGACTTTGAAATACATTACTGTTCCTTCACAATTTCTGATCAAACTCCTCAATTCCCTCCCCAGAGGTACTGGGTTTACCCTTACCAAATGAATTGCAGCCATTCAAGTTGATGGCTCAGCACCATTTTCTCAAGGCCATTTAGGGATGGGTTGTAACTGCTGGTCTTGACAGTGAAACCCCACTACCCATGACAAAAAATAAAGAAAATGCAAAACAAAACGTGGTTTTATAATTTATTGACAGTTGCATAATATGGCAGTGAAATAGTTAGTAAAATGATTCACAGCAAGATAGGAAAATAATTACAAGGATTAGAGTATTCTAAGGGAACGAAAAGAGAGAAATGTTAAGTATGTTAAAAGAACTCTGAGGACAATTTGTTTCAAGATCACATAGACACAATTGAATTTTATCAGTTAGAGAATGGACTAGATGGAATTGATTACATTGAATATAAAAAATTACATCCAGTCAATAGGACAGCAGCAATAATGGGGGCAGAACATCTCAAGAGTTTTGCTCGAACTTTGGTGCAGGAGCTCATAGAAACTCAAGAAAAATGGGTAAGTAGTGCTTATGTTCATTATCTGGCATTGCTTCCACTTAAGGTATTGAGATCATTGGAAGAAGAGTGCAGAAATTCACCCCTGTATCTATTGATTGAGATGTAAGGTCCTGAGAGGTGTGCAGCTTCTCAGTTTTAACGTGGGTTTCATTCCTGTTACCATTGCCAACCTGTTGGATCTAAGCAGTCTGGCTTTGAAACCATTGTCTGGAAACTTTTAAACTGATTAATAGAAATTTTTCCAGCAACCTAATGCTTGGATCTGCTGTAAGTAAGATTAATGATTGATGAAACCCTGCCTTGAACTCAAGGCAGTCTCTTTGTTACACCCTGTTGGGGCCTGCTCTATTGAGACAGATTTTTGCAGAGTGAAAATATCGTAAATATCAAATGTATATTGGATCAGCTTGATAAAAAGACATTGTTTATTGATTATATTCGCTCAGCGTGGATCCCTTAGTTAATTAGTCATGAAACTCCACACCGTGCTGCTGTAAATATGAACTTTAACACAATTATGCTGATCAATTACACAGGCCCATCAGTAACCTGCAGGCTTGCCACCTTTACGATAGTCTGATTCAGCAAACCACTTTCCTTCATCTCTGACGATGGCCTGGACTACACCCCCTGATGAAAGCTTGGTTATCATCTTCAATGTGTGGTGTCTCTCTTGCAAGCCTTCTTGTACAGCCTACAAAATCAACAAAGGTCAGTAATCATGAATTCGTTATCAAAGTTTTGACTTAGTTATTTAAAAAAATTCCAGATTTTTCCTGATATTGGGGTATTATAGATGAGGAGTGGATATAATGAATGAAATTCTGCCGTACAGGTGAGTCTTGTGAGCAGCACATAGGAACAAGGAGCTATTCAGTCCCTTTAGCCAGCTCTTCAAATCATGGCTAATCTGTACAACAACAGAATTTATATGTTTTTGATCCAGAACCCTTGATAATTTACCAAAAAAAATCTATCAATGTTAGTTTTAAGAGCTCTAATTATTCCCTAACATTGAAAGTCTTTTTAGAGAAGAGAATTCAATGAGCCAGATCTTAAAGTTGTTAAGATTTTCAGTTTTCAGGTTTCATGGAGGCTCACTTTCCACAAAACCTAGCAAGATTTCTGGTCATATCTTCCATATTCATCTCATTAACCATCCACCCCTCCCCTATGATGCCCCTCACATCTGATTTTAGTCCTATTCTACCACTCACCCTCATCTACCCAGACATTAGCAAAGCTTTTGATAATGGCAGACTAGTCAAGAGAGTAAGAGCTAATGGGGTCCCAGGACAACGTGGCACGTTGGATTCAAACCTGGCTGAGAGGCAGAAAGCAAAGAGTGGTGATTGGACAGACATTTCAGCGACTGGAAACCTGTTACTCGGAGAGTTCCACTGGTATCATTGCTGGGGCCCTTGCTGTTTGTGGTGTTAATTATGACTGGACTTAAATGTAGGGGTATGATCAAGAAGTTTGTGTAAGACATAAAAACTGGTTCAGTGGTAAATAGTGAAAACGATAGCTGTTAACTGCAGGAGGTTAGCAATGGACTAGATAGGTGGGCGGAGCAATAGCTAATGGAATTCAACCTGAAGAAGTGTGAGGTAATGCACTTGGGGAGAGCTTAAAGTCAAGGACCTTGGTGTACATGCTAGGTGAATTGTCCATGCTAAATTGCCCAATAGTGTCCAGGGATATGTAGGCTGGTGGGTTAGCCACAGTGAAATGTGGGGTTATGGAGATAGGATGGGTGCCTGGGTCTGGAATACTCTTTGGTGGGGTGGTGGGGTGGTGGGGTGGTGGGGTGGTGGGGTGGTGGGCGGTCAGTGCAGACCCAATGGAGCAAAACGTCTCTTTCCACACTGCAGGTGTTCCATGATTTTAAGCCCACAGATCCTGAAGGTGACAGGACAGGTCGGTAAGGTGGTTAAGATAGCATATGGGATACTTGCCTTGATTAGTCAAGGCATTGAATACAAGAGCAGGGAGATTATGCTGGAACTATATAAGGTGCTTGCTAGGCCACAACTGGAATAATGTCTGCAGTTCTGGAAAACATGTTATAAGAAAGTTGTGAATGCACTCGAGAGGGGGCAGAAGGGATTTACTAGGATGCTGCCATGCTTTCTCAGTGAAAGGTTTAAGGTATGACAAAAGACTGAATAGGTAGGATTTGTTTTTCTTGGAGCAGTGAAGGATGAGAGGGGACCTGATAGAGGTATATAAGATTATGAGGCACATAGATTGAAAGGCATTTTCTCCATTAGTACAGGGGTTAATAGCCAGAAAGCATAGTTATTAGTAAAGAGGTGGAAGGTTATGAGGAGAGTTAAGGATAACTTTCTTCACTCAGAACTGGTGGGAGTTTGGAACTCATTACCTGGTGGTTGAACCAGAAATTCTTGGAACATTTATGCAGCATTACGATATTCACTGGCATTGTGCTAGCCCCCTGGGCTGTAGGCCAAAAGCCTGAACATGGGAAAAGTAATGTCAGATCTTTGTTGACTGACGTGGACTGATGGGCCACAATCAGGTATGATCTTGTAAAGATGTACAGCAAATTTCAGGGAAGCACTGCAGAAGTTAGAGTCGGGGTGGCTGTTTGAGGGTAAATATACATGTGACATGTGGGAGTCTATTAAAGGTCTGTCGATTAGAATTCAGGACCAATGTGTTCTTATGAGGACGAAAGATAAGGATGACAAGATTCAGGAACCAGAGTCAACAAGAGATATTGAAAGGTTAGCCAAAAAGAAAAAGGAAGCATATGTAAGGTTTAGGAAACTGAGATCAGACACAGTCACTGAGGAATATAAAGGGAGCAGGAAAGAACTTAAACAAGGAAATAGGAGGGCTAAAAGGGACAATCAAGTGTTCTTTGCAAGTAGGATTAAGTGGAATCCCAAAGCACTTTATATGTATATAAGAGGGTAGGTAGGGAAAGGGTAGGTCCACTCAAGCACAAAGGAATGAATTTATGCATGGAGCCAGAGGAAGTGGGTGAGGTCCTGAATGTGTACTTTGCATTGGTATTCACGAAAGAGAAGGACATAGATGATGGTAAGATTAGGGAGGGGTATGTTGATATTAAGAAGGAGGTGTTGGGTGTTTTGAAAACAGTAAGGTAGATAGGTCCCCAGGGCCTGATGGAATCTATCCCAGGATACCGAAGGAGGCAAGACAGGAGATTACTGAAGCCTTGACAGAGGTCTCTGTATCCTCTTCAGGCACGGGCAAGGTCCCAGAAGAGTGATGAATAGCCAATGTTGTTCTTTTGTTTAAGAAGGGCAACAGAGATAATCCAGAAAACTATAGACCGGTGAGCCTTAGATCAATGGTAAAGGAAATTATTGGAGAAAGGTCTTAGGGATGGGATTTACTCGCAATTGGAGAAGAATGGACTTATTAGGGATAGTCAGCACAGCTTTATGTGGGGAAGAGATAACACAGTGTGGAGCTGGATGAACACAGCAGGCCAGGCAGCATCAGAGGAGCAGGAAAATTGACGTTTCGGGTCAGGATGGTCGGGTCAGAAACGTCAACTTTCCTGCTCCTCCGATGCTGCCTGGCCTGCTGTGTTTCTCCAGCTCCACACTGTGTTATCTCTGACTCCAACATTGGCAGTTCTTAATACCTTTACGTGGGGAAGTCTTGTCTCACAAATTGAGTGAGTTTTTTGAGGAAGTGATGAAGATGATTGCTGGGGGTAGGGCAATGGATGTTGTCTATGTGGACTTTACTAAAGCGTTTGACAAGGTCCCTCATGGTAGGCTGGTCCAGAAGATTAAGTCACATAGGATCCATGGTGAGTTGGCAAGTTGGATACAAAATTGGCTTGATCATAGGAGACAGAGAGTAATTGTGGAGGGGTGTTTTCTGACTGGAGATCTGTGACCAATGTTGTTCTGCAAGGATTGATGCTGGGATCTCTGTTATTTGTAATATATATGTATAAATGATTTGGATAAATAAGTGGGTGGTCTGATTACTAAATTTGCTGATGACATAAAAATTGGTGGAGTTGTGAATAGTGAGGAAGGTTGCCAAAGGATACAGCTGGATATAGACCAGTTGGAAAGTTGGGCAGAGAAGTGGCAGATGGAATTTAATCTGGCCTAGTGTGAAGTGATGCATCTTTGGAGGTCAAAAGGCAAGAGGAAAGTATACTGTCAATGGCTGGACACTTAGGAACATTGATACTCAGAGGGATCTTAGGTTACAAGTCTATGGCTCTCTGGAAGTAGACATACAAGTGGATAACATGGTAAACAAAGTGTACAGCATACTTGCCTTTATTGGTTAGGACATCGAGTATAAAAGTTGGCAAGTCATGTGCAATTTATAATACTTCATTTTAGGCTATATTTTGGAGTATTTGGTGAAGTTCTGGTCACCACACTATAGGAAGGATGTGGAGGCTTTGGAAAGGGTGCAAAAGAGGTTTACCAGGGTATGGCATGGGGATTGAATTAAATTAGCAATAAGAGGTTGGCCAAACTTGGATTGTTTTCACTGGAGCGTCAGAGGCTAAGGGGTGTCTTAAAAGAAGTACATAAAATTATGAGAGGCATAGATAGCGTGAAGTCAGAAGTCACATGATACCAGGTTATAGTCCAACAGGTTTATTTGAAATCACAAGCTTTCGGATCCTAATTCCTTCGTCAGGCGAAGGAGCAGCGTTCTGAAAGCTTGTGATTTCAAATAAACCTGTTGGACTAGAACCTGGTGTCATGTGATTTCTGACCTTGTCCACCCCAGTACCTCCACATCATGGATAGGTTGGACAGTCGAAGTCTTTTTCCCAGGTGGAAATGTCAGATACAAGGGGACATAGGTTTAAGGTGAAAGTGTGAAAGTTTAAAGGAAATACACGAGGGGAATTTTTTACACAGAAGATGGTAGAGGCAGGTACGATAGCAATGTTTAAGGGGCATTTCCACAGACACTTGAACAGGCAGGGAATTGAGGGATATGGACTATGTGCAGACAGGTGAGATGGCATCACAGTTGGCACAGACATGTGGGCCGAAGGGCCTGTTCTTGTGCTGTGCTGTTCTATGTTCTACCTTCTAAACATCTTACTCCATCTCCTATTTCTTGTGATCTGTCAGTCTCTTGTCATACTCTCTCTTGGCTTCCCTTATTTGCTCACAACCTGACATCTGTCATAAGCACACTTTTTATTCTCTACCACATCTATCATGAAGGGAATTTTGTATTTGTTCTTCACCATCCCTACACACTCCTTTAAGTTCATGGGAAACTGCTTTGACTGTGCCTGAACTGTCTCTTTAAACGTACAGTTAGTTCAAGTACAATTTGATCTGCCAGTTTTTGATTCCAGTTTATCTTGACCAGATTCGTTCGTACTGAGTTGAAGTTGGCTTTGCTCCAAATAATTCCCAAAACCAACCTAAATCTTGTGATATGAAAATTATTCTCTACATAATGCCCTACTGATAATTAATCACTTGGTCCAACACATTCCCAAGAACCAGCTTCAGCAAGGTCTCCTTCGCTTTGGCCTTGAAACATACTCATCTAGAAAATCTCATGCATGCACATTAGGAACTCTTGCCCTCTCTGCTCTTTTCATTACTACAATCCTTTATTAAAGTTCCCCAACATAGCTACCATAGAATTCTTGCACGTTTCTGTATTGTCCTTGCAAATTTGTTCCTGCACAAATTTCCAACTAATTGATAGCCTATAGAGTACACCAAACAATGCAATTGTACCTCCTCTCTCTAGCATTGCAGTGTTTCCCTGAAACAATACTGCCACCTACTTTCCTTCCTTCCTAATCTTTCCAAAACAACTTGAGGCAACCAGAAATATTTAATACATTGTCTTGCCCTTCTTTGTGTGTCCATTACTGCCACAAACTATACCTCTACATGGCTATTTGTGTCTGTCAATCACCAACCTTACCACATTTTCTGTCTACTCATGAAAATGCACGGTAACACTAATTTAGACTTCATTACTTTTCTTCTTACTTTGAGGCAAGCTAATATCTTACTATTTCCCATTCTAGTGCTATCTGTTTCTGTATTTCTCCACTCAACTTTGTGTCCCTCTCTTATACTTGTCCTGGTTTCCAGTCCCATACCCGTCAAGTTAATTTAATCACTCCCCAATAGCATTGGCAAATTGTCCTGCAAGAAAATTAATCCTTAGTCTGTTTCAGAGCAAACTGTCCAGCCTGAGTAGGCCCATTTCCCCCAGAATTTGTTTCATTGTCCCAGGTTTTAAAGCTCTCTATCTTGCATCTTCTCACCAGCCAGGCATTCACCTGTTCCATCCTCCTATTTCTATATTTATTTGTGCATGGTAATGTAGGTTCTCCTTGATAGCTCTGTAAATTCTGACTGCAGGACCTCATTCCGCTTTCTATGTCGTTGGTACCAATGTGGACAGCAATAATTAACTGATCCCCCTTCCCCCTCAGGATGTTCTCTGTATCTGCAAATTGACAACCTTGAACCTGGCATCAAGAAGGCATCTTATGTTTATGCCTTCAGCACAAAAATGCCTGACTCTTTCCCCAACTATCAATTCTGCTATCACTACTCTGTTTCCAGTCTGCTTTGTGCTCCTGAGTACAGTGGAGCCAGCCATAACATTACAGATTTGGGTCTAACTGCACTTCCCTAATGTGCCAGAACTGGAAAGTGAGATGCACACAAGAGGCTTCTGCGCTACCTACTTTTTTGACTGCCTAGCAAACACTCATTCCCTCTTTCCTGGAATAGTCTTAAGCTGCAGGATGTGCAAAACTATAAGAGTGCAGTCCATGAAGTTCTCAGCCTCATCCTGCTGAAGCTCCAAAATCCAGAGCTCAACCTGCTGTAGCTGACAACACTTTTGCCTATATGTTTATCCTGGACATGGGAAGAGACCTGCAGTTCTCACATGGAGCAGTATACTCCATGAGTTCAAGCTGCCTTGCTATTCAGTTATTTAGTAAATAATAAAACTTCCTATTTAAAATAATAAAGACTGATCTGGTGCTTCCCATCTGCTGATGTCACTTGAAGATAGGGATGGTAACTGAGATTTTAATTTACTGAAAATTTGGAACTGATTTGTATTACTGCCCCCTCCTATTCGTCGTCTGGAACCGGTTTTTTGATTAGGCACTGATTGTATGAAAAATTATAAAATTATAACTTTAACTGCAGTTTTTTTTAGGATCTGCACTAATTGTCCCAGAAGCTTTAAACTGTAATGAAGGAGTTGAAATTGAGAAAATACAAGGATTAAAAAAGGTGGGGTGAGAGTCTGGTTTTGTTGACTATTGGTAATGAAACATCAGAAAGAAAGGGCTACATGAGAGAAAGGCTAGATGGGTGGACAATATCAGACACTGAATGGAGGGATGCGATAGTGACTGAATAAACAGAGTTAGATGCCTACAGTCTCTCAAAGATTGTAGCTAATTATGGAGGAGAAATGCTCAGTACTCAGTATTATTTGCAATTCCTCAAGTAATGAGACAATCCATGTTCGTATGCAGCAAGTTCTGCATAATATTCAGGCTTGAGCTGACAAGTGGTAAATGGTAAATGGTAAGCATCAAGCAATGATCATCTCTTAACAAGAGAGCATTTAACTTTCTTTCCTTGACACTCACAGACTCTACTCCATTACTCTACCCTTGAGCATGAATACCTGTGTGTTATCATTAACCAGAAACGAGACTAGATAAACCATATAAGTTCTTTAGCTACAGGAGCAGGTTAGAGGCTGTATTCTGAGGTGAGTTATTTACACCATAAATCCTGTCCAACATCTACAAGGCACCAATCAAGGTTTTTCTGGAATTTCCTGGATGATTGTGGTTCTTGTATCACTCAAAGGTCAGCAACATCCAGGACAAAGTAGCCTTCCTGACTGGCACCCCAACCACCACTTAAAACATTCACTCCCTCCAATACCAGCGTGCAATGACAGTAGAGTATACAAAAATAAAATGCACTGCGGCTAATTGCCAGAACTCCTTCAGCAGTATCTTCCAAACCTGTGCCCTCACCCCCTTAGAAGGGTAAGGGCAATAGACACATGGGAACATGACCACTGTAGGTTCACCTCTGAGCCATATACCATCCTGACTTAAAACTATATCACTGCTGCTTCACAGTTACTGGATCAAAATCCTGGAACTCTCTTTCTAACAACACTCGGGCTATACTTAACTCACATGGCAGCAGCTTTAGAAGGTGACTCACCATTTCTCAAGAATCATTAGGGATGGACCACAAATGCTGTCCCTGGCAACAAAGCTCGCATTTTATGGAAGAATAAGGTAAAAATTCAAAAGGGAATGCAAAGGATGCTTAAGGATATTGGTGAACAGTTTATTGAAGGAGTGTATGCAGGTAAATGCAGTAAAATCATTATCACAACAATTTTCCATTTATTGCAACATAAAACACATGAGTAAAGGAATAATAATACACTTTTATTCTAGGCATTGTTACATCGCAGTGGAATACTTTGTGTGCTTTTGGACAATATATGATAGAAGGTACTTTTATGCCAAAGAGAACATTCAGCTAGATTCTCCAGGATTATACCAGGGTTAGGGAATTATAATTCTGAGAGGAATTTGGATTCTGTGATAATTTGGGAAGGTTGAGAATAATTTAACAAAGATTTTATCACTCTAGAAAACTTAAGTAGATTTAACAGGTTGTGAGGAGGGGCAAGGAAAAATGTTCATATGATTTGATCAAAGTGCATTTCACCTTTTAATGGAAAATTGGATAAATCACAAAAAAATGTTATGCTGCAGAAGGGTGCCATTCAGCCCATTTCATCTGCAACTCCCAGCATTTCAGCTTAGTTCCATTAATTAATCTGAACCCTAACTATTTGCTGTGCGAAAATGTTTTTCTCACCTCATATTTTCTGCTTTTGCAAAACACTTTAAATCTGTCCCCTCTGGTTCTTGAACCTCCTACAAACAGGAAGAGTTTCTCCCTATCTACTCCATCCAGACCTCTCATGATTTTGAAAGACTATGTCAGATGATTTCAGTTCTTCAAGGAAAATAGAAATATTTGAAACAAAAATAGACACAGGGCTCATTTGGTGAGTGCAGTTAGTTTTAGTTGTTAGTTGTTATAGCAAAGAGCTGACACACACATAAATGAATGAATGGCTGAATGCATTGCAAGTTTGTATAATTGATAGATACTATAGGAGATTCTTGCGGCCAGATAGGTAGTGAGGTTGATGAGAGGTGAATAGAAATCCATAACTTACAATTCCTATGGCAATATTAACCAATATCTAGCCCATATAGACGTGCACAAAATATACACAAACCTTCTCCATAGCTTCCTCAACTTGAGTCACATTGGGGAATAGTTGATGGTGAACTCTGGGTTCAGTCACAGCTTTCTTAACATTGTAATTAAACCACAACACATTCATTATCACCTAAAAATATAAAAGGAACACGACAAGTTAGACGTCCCCATTATCTCCTAGTATTTAGAGTCATAGAGTCAAACAGCACAGAAACAGGCCCTACAGTCCATTTCGCCCCATGCTGACCAGGTATCCTAAACTGATCTTGTCCCATTTGCCTGCATTTAGCCCATACCCCTCTAAACTCTTACTATTGATGTACCTGTCCAAATATCTTTTAAATATTGTAACTGTATCCATCTCTACCACTTCCTCTGGCAACTTGTTCCATATAGACACCACCCACTGTGTGAAAAAACTGCCCCTGAGGTCCCTTTTAAATCTTTCCCCTCTCACCTTAAACCTATGCCCTCTAGTTTTAGACTCCCCTACACTGGGGAAAAGACCTTGGCTATTCACATTATCTATGCCACACCCATGATTTTATGAATCTCTATAAGGTCACCCCTCAGACTCCTATGCTCCAGTGAGAAAAGTCCCAGCCTATTCAGCCTCTCCTTATAACTCAAACCTTCCAGTCTCAATAACATCCTTGCAAATCTTTTTTGCACCCCTTCCAGTTTAATAACATCCTTCCAAGAACAGGGTGACCAGAATCGTATGCATTACAGCCAATGTGGCCTCACCAATGTCTTGTACAGCTGTAACATGACATCCCAACTCTTTTAACTTGTTCCCTTGCATTCTGTTTTGATCCTCATATTCCATGAGTACTCACCAGAGCAGTTGCTGTAGTGATTTTCGTTCCTCCTGAGGCTCCCACCACCATCTTCACTGACCTGTTTTTATCAAGTATAATGGCAGGGCACATAGAGGATAGGGGCGTTTTACCTATTGAGAAAAGAATATTTTTAAAAGCCCCATGGTCAGTCACAGTATAGGAATATGTTTATTAAGTATAACATTGAAAACTGGGGTATTGTTAAGTGAATCCCACTTAAATTATCATACGGGGACTTATTGAAAAGGAAATCTTTCGTGGGATGTTGGTATCATAGCAAGACAAACGTTTAGTCCCATCCCTAATTGTCATTAAGAAGGTTCTGACGTATTAAATTCTTAACAGCTCAGTCCATGTGATGTATGTTTCCATTGCTGTAACATTATGAATCAGCTTATATTAAGGAAATAGGATTGTAGAAAGATAAAAATTCTCTTCTTGATCTCCTAGGCCTGTCTGCAAATTTTGACATGGTTGACCATATCATTCCCCTCTGACATTTCACGGCTGTTTCCCAGCTGGGTAGGACTGCTCTCATATATTTAGATTCTTATCTGTCTAATGGTATCCAGTAAATTGCTTGCATTGTTTATCTCTCTTCCCTCACTGTTACTCTGATGTTCCCCAAGGGTTTATTTATGATATTTTCCTATTTCCCAATACATGCTGCCCCTCGGTAACACCATGCCAACTGACAAACATCTGTTTGTTATTAGGAATATGCCATTCAGCCTCTCGAATCTGTTCCATTATTCAATAAGATCAGACTGATTTGATTGTGCCCTCAAATCCATATTCCTATCCCCGATAACCTTTCACCCCCTGGCTGAACAAGAAAGGAGCAAACAGACAAACTCAGTTGTCAACCCTCCCTCAAACCTTCTGGGGGGCTGGTGCCAAAATTGGGAGAGTTGTCTATCCAACTAGTCAAGCACCAGCCTGGCATCGTCATACTCATAGAATCATATCTTGCAGGCAATGTCCCAGACACCACTATTGCTATCCTGGGTATGTCCTCTTCTACTGGACATGAAAGGGACTATATAAATATCAGCTGTTGTTGTATAGGCACAGCCACATTTCTGTTAGGTAGGGTTTTTGATTGAGCAGTGATGAAGGAACACTAATAAAGTTCTGAGTCAAGATGGCGTACAGCTTGGACGGAAACTTGCAAATGGTCCTGTCCCCATACAGTCCTTATTCGTCCAAGTACTAGAGATGGTAGTTTTGCAGTGTGCTGTAAGAGAACCTTGGCTCATTGCTGTTTTACCTCTTGTGGCGTCATTTTTGAAAGGAGTGAGTGTATTAGATTGAGGACGTAGTGCTGTTCAAGTGATTGCTTTGTCATTGACGGTATTGAACTTCTTGTTAAAGCTGGAACCATTGAAAATGAAGAATCCTCCAACATATTCCTCACTTTAGTCTTTAGATCCCGAATAGGGTTTAGGGAGCCAACTTAGAATATCCAGACTCTGAACTGCTCTTGTAGCTACTGTGTTTAAGTCTTGTTCCAGTTACGTTTCTGGTCAGTGGTAACCTCCAAGATTTTGATGATGGAAGATTCCGGGGTAGTAATGTAGTCAAATATCAAGAGCACGTGGTTAGAATCTCTCTCACTGTGGATGACTATCACCTATTAATTTAATGTTGACGACTTGTGCTCCAGCACTAGCGGCACTACTAGCTAAGCTGTTCCAACATTGCTACAACATTACAATATGATGTAATTGAAAACTACCCAGTTATGTTCTGAACACAAAAGACAAACTTAACCCATCTGCCATTTACCCACCCCATCAGTTTACTTACATTTATCAACGAAATTAATTGTGTAGTGTAAATATTATTTGCTACTCATCAATCTAAGCCTAAATGTTTCTCAAGGTTTGCCGAACACAGGCACGAACTGATTCATTATTTCTGAATAAAACTGAACAATGTGCAATCATTTGCAAACATCCCCACTTCTGAACATGTGGTGTAGAGAAAGTCATTGAGGACACAGTTGAAGAAGATCGGACCTAATTCATCACAATGAAAAATTTCTGCAGCCTGGGGTTAGGAAGGTTGTCCACCAACAACCATGATCATTTTTCTTTGAGATAGTTCTGACTCCAGCCAGTGAAGAGCTTTACCTGACTCTCATTGATGTCAATTTTACTGAGGCAACTTGATACTACACTTCATGTTAACGACATAACATATCTCAAAATGCAGATCTTTGATCCTTTCTTGGACCAAGAGATATGAAACTGAATGGTTCAGGTTGGTCCCAAACTGTCTACTGATGACCATGTTACCGGTAAGTATTTTCAACATTTTCTATAATATTTCCTGTATCCGCAGTATTTTGTGTTATTGTTAGGTGCTTTCTGATAACTTGATCGCTGACACTTTACCTCATTTTGTTGATAACTGTAAGTAAACTGATGGGGTGGGTAAATGGCAGATGGGTTAAGTTTGTCTTTTGTGTTCAGAACATAACTGGGTAGTTTTCTACCACGTCATATTGTAATGTTGTAGCAATGTTGGAACAGCTTAGCTAGTAGTGCCACTAGTGCTGGAGCACCAGTCTTCAACATTAAAGCTAGATGATAGTCACTGTCCATAGTCATTACTGTATCCAACGTGCTTAGGATTCCTGCTCTTTAGAAAATTATACAGCATCGTTCACAAATAGATGTGGCAGCACTGCAGAATTTTGATTTGATTTGGTGGATTGTGGGGTTGTTTAGCTTGTGGTTCCACTTCAGTTTGCACCTTGGGATTAGTGGCTGTGTGGTATGTTTCCCATGACTCCACGTGAAACTGAAAACTGAAATTTCCTCGCTGCAAGCGACACAGATGCAGGGGGACAATTGGAGCTTTTTAGACTGAATTTGGTAGGTTTTTGTCAGTTATCTGTATCAAAGCATCTGAAGAAAAGTTGGGCAATTGGAGTTAAGGTCAACAATCTAGTTTAAGTTTTAAAAAACTCATTCAGGAGATGCAAATATCTCTGGCTAGGCCTGCGTTTATAGCTCATTTCCGATCGTCCTTTAGAACGTGTTAGTGAACTGATTTCTTGAACTGCTGTAGTCCATTTGTTTTAGGGACATCCACAATGCTGACAAGGAGTGAGTTCCAGGATTTTTACCTCACAACAGTGAAGGAATTGAGCGGCAGAGCACATCTGATGGGCTTTTAACATTCCGCAGATTGAAAATTGCACATGACATTCTGCTATTTTTATAAGGCTACAAGGGGAAATTAGGGAACAAAAAGCAAATCAGTAACATCGGTGGTTTAGAAATTTCTAGCGTTTATAGCTAAGAATAGGATGACTGAAATAAACTTCAGCTATCAGCGTAGATTTGTAAAACTTCAGAACTGTGATCAAGTGTAACTGAGTTAGTGACAGTCAGAGGTGTGCTCTGTTCCTTTGTGCTCCTGCCTTCCCCTGCCCCTCAAGAGCTGTTTCCATACTTGTGCTTTCTCTATACCCTGCTCTTTCCATGCCTTGTGCTCTCTCCCCACCCTCTCTCTCCCTCTCTTTCTCCTCACCCTCTCTCTCTTCACCCTCTCTCTCTCTCCCTCTCCCTCTCTCTCCCAACCCTCTCTCTCCTCACCGTCTCTCTCCCTGTCTCTCTCTCTCCCCCCCACCCTCTTTCTCCCCATATTCTCTCTCTCTCTCTCTCCCACCCCACCCTCTCTCTCTCCACCCTCTCTCTCTCTCTGTGCTTTGTGCTTCCTCTTTTCTGAGTGCTTTCTTCTTGCTCCATTCTCCTCAGACCCCTCCTCCTGACAAGGATTAATAGACTCTGCAAAGAAAAGTAGTCATTCATAATCTGTAGTCAAAAACCTGCTTTCTGAAAAACAGAACAGGACTAAAATACTTTTTATATGCAACACTCAGATTTTGAAAATTATGTTATTATAAATAAAACTAAGGTGGGTCTGTGATTACAGATCATTTGAAAAGAAGTCCCTCAATCAAAAAAAAATTTGAGATCAACTGATTAATATGGACTTCCAAAGGGTACTTGATGAAGTCCCTCATTAGAACTCTTCGCTAAAGTTGAAGCTAATGCAATTAAAGAAAATTCATGAACCTGGATAGGAAATCAGGTGAATGGACGGAGAGAGATAGTGGTGCCTATGTTTTGGAAGGAACTGTGGAGATGGCACAGCATATCAAAAATTGCAGAGAGAAATCAGATCTGGAAGTCCTGACCCCCGTTTCTGTTGGATCCTATTTTTGCTGGTGGGAGAATGGGACTGGGAAGTGACATGCGAGCTATCCAAATTCAACAGAGCTGAGCAAACCCCATTTTTGCTGCAGCAAGGCCTTATTGTGCAATGTGTGGCATATGATTCTTTTAGAGTATTTCCAAATGCTTGTAAAGGGCAGATAAATTCTATGGAACTGTAAAAAAAAAATTGTGCCTGAGTTTTTTTTTAAAATCTGCTTGGAATCTCAATAAATTTTTGTTTGCATAACCCCAAGTGCTGTCACTATATAACTGTTGCCGATTGACTGTTACCACGATATGTCATTATCACAGTGGGATAATGTAAGTTCTGAAGAAGAGTCATTGGACTCAAAATGTTAACTCTGCTTTCTCTCGCCAGATGCTGCCAAACTTCTGAGTTTCTCCAGCAATTTCCGTTTTTGTTTGAGTTCTTTGTTTTATGGTAATGTGCATTCACAACTGGAGGTCTGAGACATTATTAAAGGATTAATGGTTTTTGATGCTGGGCTATGAATATAACGTTCATTTGTTTAATTCCTCAAGTATTTGAGGGGTATTAAATGTACTGAATGCAATTTTATAATTTTTTTCATAACATGAAATCTGTTTATCTGATATTTAATTTGATTTAATTTTAGCAAGGCTTCTGAGATCTTCCTAAGTTGGATACTTGGTGAGTTGGGATGGAGGGTGTAAGAACAAAGGGTGGTATCATGGAGCCATGTGTTGGCGCTAAATTGAAATGGGAGTTAGACGAGGTCATGGGGTCATGGGATTGACATGCTGCGTACGATGTGCCATTGGGGATGTGCAGGGTAGCAATGGGGTTGGCATTGATGTGGCATAGAGAGTGAATAGGGGCAAATATTCAGTAACTCAACTGAGACAGAATCCCAGAGAAATGAGGCAAGCCTTTTATCTCAGGCCTTTTAATCAGCTCAGTTTAGCAGGAAGCAGGCCCTACAGCAGCCTGTGACCTGGGTACAGGAATGGCAGGCCTGACTCCCGTGTACCCCAGGTTAATGTTCCGTGCTGTTATCAGGGACACCATTTAAAGACCTACACAGCCTGGTGTTTTCCTACCATTCCACCTTTAACTCCTTCCTGCGTCATACAGCTCTGGAACTTCAGAATTTGTCTGGTATTCAGGACAAAACAACATTATTATAATGTAACTATTTTATGCAAAATACTGCTCAATATATGGCCTGTACTGACGAGGAAGGCAGTGGGGATGGATGGTGTCAGCATGTTCAAGAATAACAGGATAGGGGAAGTGATTGAGGGGTACAATAATAATATTGACCTGTATAAACTAAACTGTATGTCACCCCTTTTTTATTTGTTATCCTCTTTTACCCATCTATTACATAACGCTATATCACATCTTATGCTTGTTTTCTCCATTTAAAAAGAGCCCATTGTGGTTCAGTAGGAGCAGTGCGCATTCAAAACCAACATTTTATGCAGGAGCACAAAAACTAGGCTGATGGGGTATTATATTCTAGCCAGCCTTTAAGGTAGCTGTGAAGTATTATATAATGCTACTTGAAGAGGAAGGGGTATTTTCACCAGTGTCCCATTCAATATTTACACATATAACATCAGTCAAAAACATTTTATTTTGTTATTCCATGTTGGTTTTTACATGAACTTGCTGTATTTTTTTCTGCTACTGTTTCTGCATTGCAATACTGACTCCAAATCAAAAACACTTCTTTGCTTAAAAGTGCTTCAGGCTGCTCCAGTGACATGAAAATTGGCATCAAATTGCAGGGCAGCTGTTCTTTGAAACAAGCAGCGACAGTGAAGTGTTCAAACTAAATTATCTTAGCTGCTGGTGTGTGATGGAATTAAGCTAATATGGAATGTATAAGACATGTAAAAATAGAGGACACTCCCTTTTCGGGTGTTAATCTCCAGAGCATATTTGATACTCATTGTTGGAATATTTGTATTTGTATTTTTTTTATATTTCTGAACTTTTTTATACGTTAACACTCTAAAATAAGATAGTTACATTTTTGAAAGCAGTTTGACAACAGATTAATAAATAGGATTAAGATAAAGATAAAATATCCCATTTGAAAAGCCACCAGCATTGAAATAGTGGGCTGAATGGTCTCTTTCTGGGCTGTCACTTCTATGTTTCACTTCACAATTTGATCTACACCTGAAAAGGTGGTGGATGCAAACGCAATCATAACTTTGAAAAGGGAATTGGGTACATGAAAAGGAAAGATTTTCAGGGATGTAGGAAAAAGTGCAAGGGGTCGACATGGTGTCTCAGTGGTTAGCACTGCTGCCTCACAGCACCAGGGACCCGGGTTCGTTTCCATCCTTGGGCGACTGTCTGTGTGGAGTTTGCACATTCTCCCCGTGTCTGTGTGGGTTTCTTCTGAGTGTTCCGGTTTCCTCCCATAGTCCAAAGTTGTGCAGGTTAGGTGGATTGGCCATGCTAAATTGCCCATAGTGTTCAGGGATGTGTAGATTAGGTGGGTTATAGGGGGATGGATCTGGGTGGGATGCTCTGAGGGTCGATGTGGACTTGTTGGGCCAAAGGGCCTGTTTCCACACTGTAGGGATTCTATGATCTATGAATGGGACTAATTGGATAGCTCTGTCAAAAGCTGACTGAAGCATGATTAACTACACAGCCTCCTTCTATACTGTAAAATTCTAGTTTTCTAGAGTGAAGAGCATACATGTCTATTTAAGTGGGATCATAGTTTAGTGGCAGTAACTTTAATTTCCATTGGTTGAGCCTACCCATCTAAACAGAGCCAGACCTGGCATGATGAAGTTGGCTGGGGAAGGTAAAACATCAAACCCATTCAGAATGCCTGGTGAAGAAAAGTCATCCATTTCATTGTTGAAAATGATCCCATTTTTGCTGGACCTCACCTTCGACCCAAAGCTGCAAAACAACAAAAATAGGACTTCTTTTTAATAACACCAAAAATTCCTTATTTCATCCATTCTCTATATAGAAGGAGCACCCATTATTGTCTCAATGTTCAATACCTGCCCAAAGACAGATTGGTACCAATAATCACTACTTATTTTCACACAAGTATTTTAAAATCCATCATCTGTATCAATGATTTGAATACGGGGACTAAATATAATATTTCCAAGTTTGTAGATGATACTAAATTAGGTATAAGTGAAAGTTATGAAGTTGATGCAAAGGTATTCAAGGGGATTTAGAGAGGCAAATGTGTGAGCAAAAATTTGGCAGTTGGAACACATGGGGAGAAATATGAGTTTATCCATTTTGGTTGGTAGACCAGGTTCTAAGAGATTGCATATCTTCATTTTTTGGACTATTAACTGAAATGGAAGTTGGACAGCATTAATTATAGAGTCATAAGAAGAATTTTGCAACTTGAAACACAGGTATTGCATTGTTGAGCCGTGCCACACAATGTTGCTCTTTAGAAACAAAAAGTGGGATTATTCGGGGTAAACATCAATACTGAACAGAACCTTTCGAGTTGAAGAAGTTCTGCCTGGCAACTACTCTGATTGGTTGAGTGCCAAGTTGAGTGCAGAGTGCGAAGAACAGCAGAGAGTGAAAACATCCAGCATTCTCTCTCTCTGTGGTCAAAAAGACAGAAAATTCTAGAAAGCTTAAAAAAAAGATTCGCAAAAGACCTAAGTACCTGAACTACCATTGAATTGAAGGATGATCATCACCATATAAACAACATCATTTCTTTGCAATTTACAATTCTCCTAGACACTAGTGAGATACTAGATGGTGCCAATTCCTGACCCAGAAACCTGAATCATTACCTGGTGGATGAAGCTCAGTGGAGGCTTCTCCAGCCTCCATGTTCACCTTCATTCACCAACATCTCATGGTCTATTTCATGGGCAGTGACTGTATCCACCCTTCATCCATGTAAGTCAGTATTGGCAAAATACCAGCCTCACCACATCATTATGTCTCAGAAGATACTCTTGCACTTCACCGCTCTTTGAGGCTCACTAACACTTTACATTGCAATGTTCACTCGAGGTTGCTCTCACACTCCTTCTATGAATCTGCCACAGGATACATCTCACGGTTCTTTGCTTAGTTTCTTCAATCATTTTGCATTTCGTTGGATACTTACAGCACTAGGCCAAGTTTCTTCTCACCACGTGTCACTGCACTGATCCATTTCAGTCTGAGGTGTCAGTGCTGAGGCCTCCTTGGGCACTATTGAGGAAAGCAGATGGTCCTCCTCTCCATCAATGCCCACTAACTGGTGTGCCTATCTGCCTTTCTCTTCTGTAATAATGGTTGACCATCAAACTTTGATTGGCAGTTCCTGGCTTGCAGCATTTGAACTAGTGTACAGCTGGGTTTAAATATGGTGCTGACGGTGACAATGCCATTCACCCTGAATGTCCCGCCTTCTCAACAGCACCTCCTCCCTGAGTATAGAAGTGAGCCATTAGCCCAATTGGTCTATTCCGTTGTTCATCATCTTTTGATCTTAATTCATCTCATCCTGTCAGCATATCCTTCTCCCTATCTCCGTCAGGTATTTTATCAGTTTCATCTTAAAGGTATCTACGCACTTCTCTTTAGCTAATAAGCTTCACATTTCAACATTGGGATGATATGGTTTCTCCTGATTTCCTGATGATATTTATTGGTAATTATTCTACATTTGTGAAAAGTTAGTTTCAGACACGAGCACATGTGAAGACATCTATGTATCTACGCTATTAAGAATTTACTGTTTCAGATTTTTGAAGTCACCCTTTCTCATTCCCGGAGAACAGGACCTTTGTCTCTTTGCTGATAATTATAGCTTACAGTTCTAGAATAAATCTTCTTCACGTGTTCTCTAGTGTCTTGATTTTTTAAAATTCTTTGGAGACCAGAACTGTGCACAGTACTCTAAACATGGATAGATGGTATCACTCTTTGTACCAACTGCAACCCATAGAAGCACTGAGGCTCAGCTGTATTACCACTCAAAACACTTTTCCTGCAACTCCTCAGTTCACCTGCAACACAGCAGCATCGATAGTCATATTTTATTTCATTGCTGCCTCCCTGTTTTTAATTCGTTCAATGGTGATGGCATTGCTGACTGGTTAAGGTCAGGAGCTGAGTCGTCCTGGCAGTACCCCAGCTGAATGTCAGTATGCACTGCCAATACCTTCCTCCACCATCTGCTGATGATCAAGAGTAGACTGAGAGGGTGCTATTTGGTTGGGTTGGGTGTGGTTTGCTTTTTGTGCACAGGACAATTTTCCACATTGGCAGGTAGGTGTCAGTGTTGTAGCTGTCCTGAAACTGCTTGGCTAAGATTCTTCATCCTATGTTGAGAAGAACTAGGGAGGTAGTATAAGAAGATAGACTGGGAGTTAGAAAGGGGTATATATGAAAAGCCAAGGTGGAACCCAGGACCTGGTGCACAAAGATATGAATGAAGAATGATACTGGGTATGCAGTTATGGGAGCTTCAGACAGGAGATGGTTAGGTAAAATCCTATAAGAACTATAATATGAAAGGACTTGCAATAATATAGTAACCTTGATGACAACAGTATAATCTAAGAATTCTACAGCCGACCAAATACTTTTGATTTGCAGCCACTGTTGTAATGTAGGAAAAGATAAAAAGCAAAGTTTTGGAGACTGATAAGTGTAGGGAATCATCATTTTCTTTCTTTCATTCTTATGTGGAGATATATTTTTACCCACATCCACCTCCTCCCTTTATTACAATTCCTGTGTTGGCTAAAAACAGCTGTGGAAAAGTTCATATACCAAATGATCCACCCCATCACCCACTCGTGCCCAACAGTAGTAGGACCAAGAAAAAACATCAAGGGGAAAGACGCAAATATAGAAGTTATCGTTGTGAATGAATATTTTAAGACCAGTAATCTCTTACTATAAATTAATGGTGCTGGTTGCTGACACTGCACTGCCATCCTCTGCCACAAGGGATAAATGGGCAGTCCCATGATCCTCGGTGGTGTAGAACTCAGGCTCATAGTATGGTATAGGATGTGTTGTATTGTCTGTGATTTTACTCCAAAGCCTTGCTGCGAAATACTCTGAAGTCATATTGGAAATGAGCTGTTAATGAAAAGGATCCAAAGAATGAAATGATTAGTATAGTGCAGTGGACATCAAACTTCAAAGATCAGGATTTGAACACAGTCCAGGCTGGATGGATGAAAGTCTCTTTATCTACTAAATATTCAAATCTTCCATGAAATGGGTTTGTGCAGGCTCAACCTAAAGAGCAAAAACACAGAAGTCTAATATTAAATGGTCAGTCTCATTCACAGAGGACTCAGGGTAGTTGGTGTTGGAAATGGCTGATGTCACACAGGATAGTCAGACATGTTTCTCTGACACTGACCTGAGGCACATCTTTAAGCCAGTATCCTGTTTGTCCGGCAAGTTCCCGCTACCAGCGCACAACGTTCCAGGAACTCGGAAAATCATACAAGACTGTAGAGGGTATGATTCTATGATTGTTTCTGAACAAAGGCACAGGCTAAGGCCTTTTGGTCCACCGTATTCATGCTGGCCTATTGAAAGATCTGTCCAATTAATCTCACTCTCACTTTTTCCAAAGCCCTGCAAATTTTACCTTCTCAAGTGTAAATTTAATCCCCTTTGAAACTTATTTTTGAATCTTCTTCTACCATCAGGCAGTGGTTTACAGATCCTAGCAATTCACTGTGTCTCCCTGTTTCATTTTACACCATTTTTAAATCTGTTGGATCTTGTGATTGACCTCCTTGCCTGTAGAAACAATTTGTCGTATTTACTGTTTTAAAATTCTACCCAATTTTGAACATTCTTTCTTGAAGCACGCTTTTTATGCTCCCACCCAGGAGTTTGGGATCAAGAGAATTAGTTAGGGAGAAGTCAATCTTCAGACTTAAGTTTCTTTAAGAACCCTGTCTGTTGCATATTAAAACTAAATACTACCGTATATGGTAATCTTAGACATAACATACTCTAATCTGAACGTTGGATTGCTGAGAGATTATTCACTGAATTGAAACAATATTGCATTTATTTATCTATCTAACTCCTCCCACGTGGTTATTTATGCCCAGTAGGGAGCAGCCTATTGATATCATTGCAAGATTGTTCTGGAGTCCTAAAGCCTATATACAGCACCCCTTTCCAAGTTTTCCTCCCTTCCTTATAAATATTGATGAACATTCATATACACTCTCAAATGAACCAAATGACCTAAATTACGTCTTTTTAGAACATTTAGTGCACAGTTTCGCCTTATCTCTCCGCTGCTCCCCAAGTCTTTGACTTGATTAATCCGTTTATGAGACGGGTAAGGGAAGCCTATGACAAGGTATAGAAACACTTCACATGAAGCTGGTGAGCTTTTTCTCTCTCTGCTGATTTCCATTAGTTCAGGGACTTAAATGATCTGGCAGCTTGACCACACACCTTGAACAAGTTGTACTTGTTGAAGTACCTGGTGTAACTACAATAATATACAGGGAAATTAGGTTGCTACTTCTTCTACATCAATAGCATCTCTATTAGGTGACAGTGTTACTTGTTTAAGAAAACAGTGATGTTGTTCATCCAAAGATAGTTGTTCCTCAAGTTCCATTGGTGTATTGATGTGTTCTTCAAGGTTCTGTCCCAAGGCTATATATATATATATAATGCTCTGACTTGGAAAACATTTGGTTTGATGCTTGATGTGTTCTCTAGATTGTACAGTTTCTAATATTTCCAGACAGAAATCTATTCTTTTTGTGGAAAATTAAAATAGTAAATGAAATCTGACTGTGTCCATTTTGCTTCCCAAGTGGCTGGATCAAACCGGAAACAAACAGTTTAAATGTCGTTGAGTTTTTAATAGTACCGTTAAAAGGACCTTCAGCCCATTTTGTCCACCCAGTCACCAAACATCTACCTATTCTAATCCCATTTTACCAGCATTTGACCCATACCCGTGTGTGCTAAGATTTCAACTGCTCATCTAAATAGATCTTAAATGTCTTGATAGTTCCTAAAACTACCACCTCTGTGGCCATGAGTCGTAGATACCCACAACCCTTTTGAAACTTTTTGTAACTTTACGAAACTTAATGAAACTTTTCTCTCTCTCAAATCCCCCCTAAATCTCCTGCTCCTTACTTTAAACTGCAACAGGAGCTCTGGCCATTGATCCTGCTATGAAGAGGAGAGGTTCTCCCTATCAAATCCATCTATGCCCCTCATACCTTTGTATATCTAAATCAGGTACCCTCCCCCTCACTGCACAGCCATCTCTATTCTAATGAGAACAATCCCAACCTAATTAGTCTTTCTTCATAGCTGAAACACCCCAATCTAGCTAAAATTCTAGCTTATCTCGTCTATACTTTCTGCCATGCAATCATATCCTTTCTATAGTGTGACAGCTGAAGCTGCATGCAATATAAATAAAAAACCAAAAGAACTGCAGACGCTTTAAATCAGAAACAAAAACTAAAATTGTCTGGCAGCATCTGTGAAGAAAAATCAGAGTTAGCATTTTGGGTCTGGTGACCCTTCCTCAGAACATTATAAATATTCCATCATAACCTCCTTGCTTTTGTATTTAATGCTTTGACTAATAACGATGTATGTCTTAACCACCTTATCTAGCTGTCCTGCTGCCTTTATTAATCAATGACATGAACAACCAGGTCCCTCTGATCCTCTACACTTCCAAAGGTCCTACCATTCAACATGCACCCTCTTGTCTTGTTATTCCAAAATACATCACCTCACATTTTTCAGGATTAAATTCCATTTGTGCTATTAAGCCCACCTGATCAACCCATCTATTTGTCCTGTAGTCTAAGGCTCTCCTCCTCACTATTTACCACACTGCCAATTTTCCTGCCATCTGCCAACTTACTGATCTTACCTCATAGATTCAAGTCTAGATCATTAATGTGCTTAACAAGCAGCAAGGGATCCAGCATGAACTCTGTGATACTCTACTGGACAAAGGCTTCCAGTCACAAAACATCCTTTGACCATCTTCCTGCCACTAAGCAAATTTTGGACACAATTTGCCAAATGACCCTGGATCCCTATGGGCTTCTTAACTAGTCTGACATATGAGACCTGGTCAAAAGCTTAATTGAAGTCATCAACTGCATTACCCTCACCTACACCTCCTCAAAAAATTCAAGCAAATTTGTCACATAATCTTCCATTTAAAAAACCATGCTGACTATCCTTGATTAATCCTTATCTTTTCAAGTGGAGATTAATTCTGTGTCTTACAATTGTTTTCCAGTCATTTCCAACTGTTTCCAACAGTGATGTTAGACTCACTGGCTTGTATTTTCCTGAATTATCCCTACCACAGTACTTGGATAATGTTACTATATTAGTTGTGCTCCTTGGGCCAGAGAGGTTTTGAAAATTAATGTCAGAGCCCCTGTGTCTCACTGCAAAGTACTCATTTAAAACCTTAGCTATGGCTTCCAACTCCACATACAGATTGTCACTTTAATCCCTTGAGTTTATTATCAATGAACTTGGTGTCTCCAGTCAATCTTCCAAACTCACCACATAGTCACCGTCCTGGAAGCCCCAGAAGATTACAGCAGGAACCTAGGTGCTTTTCTAGTGCCATATGTACACTAACACCTAGACACGGCCTAACACACACTCATAGACATTCAAGGAGGAACAAGGACTAAATGACAATTCACTCAGCATGCAGTGTGACTGTACAAGGTGAAGACATTTCAATTAACTGAACAACATTAGATTGATAGTTTACCTCAGTCATGTTGACAAACAATGGATCTCCCATCATGCTTCTCTTTGCATATGCAAATTTAAAGGCTTCAACTATTCGATGATATGTCAAGGCCCTCTGTTCTGGGGAGGAAACGCTATCTGAAGTAAAATTATAACCTGTAAATAAAAAGGAAGCTGAGACAAAAGTTGGTAATGCAATTATCTAACTAAAGTCCACCAATAATCCAAGGAACTTGGGATAGAGATCTTTTGTGCCGGTTTTAATGTGAGATCAGTACAAACCATCAGTGAAGTGCAGGTAAATCCTACTAGTTTGGACAGAAGCTGATGTTACACGATTCTTAACACATGAAAAGAAATCCAAATACATTAGTCTCACATCAAAAATTGACAGAATGTAACAATTGACCACCTAGAGAGTTTTCTAGACAAAATAATCTGTTAAATGACAGTCAACACATTTTCAGAAGTGAGAGATCCCATCCGCTCTCCCACTTGAAACAACATCTCAATATGATTCTGGACTTGATTGTTTGCCACAATCAATTGTGCTTCCTGATTATTGGTGTGCCTAGAGCCCAAGGGCTGTAATGGTTCACAAAGGCACTTCACCACCGCTGTCTCAGAAAATTTTAGGGATGGACAGCCGATGCTGGCATAGCCAGCAATGCCCACATTCTGTGAATAAATAATAAATTAAAGAAAGCTGTTCCTCACCATGACCATGAAAAACTATGTGGACCCATATTTGAAGTAGGCCAGTAGCATTTAGGTCTCGAAAAATCTGCTTATATCAGAAAACAAATAAGTAGCTCACCAGACGGAGCATCAAACTAAATATTCAAGGACTTGGTCTACCAAAGCCATGACATAAAATAGGACTGTTTCCAATTGGAATGCAGCCCATATAACACATATAATTCCAATAAAGAGGTGAGAGCATAAATATTTCTTCAGGGATTTGGATTTGGAAAAATTTGGAGGTAAGGAATTCCCTGGATAAGCTGAAGCAGAGCATGGGTGGAAATTTACTGACAGAATGATCCCAGGGTTGAGTCCCCGTATTCCTGATTTACATCAACATCTGGATTCAGAAAGTTTGTACTTGAACAAAATTACAGTTGGTACTAAATTAAGAAAGCAGTTGAATGTTAAGTCACCCAAGATACTGGGGTAACACCGAGTCAAGATTTATAATGGGTTGGTCAATGAAATTCAGAATTGGTACACAATGATTCTAAGTGTATTTTTCCATTTTATGATTAATCTAGAATAGAGTGATAGAATTATAAAGCTTTTATAGCATGGAAAGAAGTCCAGTAGTCCATCATATCTGTGCTGGTCATCTATGCTGAGCCAATTTTCCAGCAATTAGCCCGTAGCAGTGTATGCTATGGCATTTCAAGAGTTCATCTGAATAGTTTTTAAATGTCTTCAGGGTTCCTGCCTCCATTGCTCTTTTAGGCCATGAGTGCCAGATACCCACCAGCCTCTGAATGAAAACATTTTTCCTCAAATCCCCGTTAAACCTCCTGCCCTTATATTAAAACTGTGCCCCAGTTATTGACACCTCACTAAGGGGAAAAGTTTCTTCCTATCTATCCTGTCTATGCGGCTCAGCTTCATCAGATACCCCCTCAGCCTCTCTGCTCTAAGGAAAACGAACCTTCTCTTCATAGCTGAATCACACCCCAGCCCAGGCAATATCCTGATGAATCTTCTCTGCACCGGCTCTAGTGCAATCTCATCCTTCCTATAATGTGATAATGAGAACCACTATTCCAGCTTTGGCTCAACTAACATTATAGACAGCTCCATTATAACCTCAGACAACAAGGTGCAGGGCTGGATGAACACAGCAGGCCAAGCAGCATCATAGGAGCAGAGAGGCTGACGTTTCGGGCCTAGACCCTTCATCAGAAAAAG